TATTCTATACTTTTCAGATATACTGAGCGTGTGGTGTACATGTTACAGAACTGTGATTTTGGTGTCCTGTTTGACATGTAGTTTCCAAAAGGTTACTCATTTTTGCTTCAGTCTGTTGCTTTTGTCAATCAGTACAGTTATAGTAATTAGTATTTTGTATGGAAGAAAAAACATTACATTGTTACATGTTGCGCCTATTATGACAAATAACCTTTCCCTCACCTCGGACATTAGAAAAAAATAAGATTCGTATTGTGCTGCTTTTTAAATTTCATCAAGTTATACTTCCCTCATGATAGATTTTATATAATGTATTTGCACTTGTTTAATTATTCATTTGTTCATTATTTATTCATTTGTTTATTTGTTTATTTATTTATTTATCTTATTTATTCATTTATTCACTATAGCGAATAATTGCGGTCTGTATTATAAAGTTTTTCCATAACCTCAGATCCCCTTATTAAATTCCATTTTATTTCGTTCCGCCCATTGGTCATTGGAAGCCTAAATCAATCCTACACGGAACTACATTTTCTGTTTTTCGAAAAATACAACTTAAATGAATAACAAGACAAAAACATCAACAACACTTACAATTATCCGTTTAAATCGGCCTTCCGCTCTATCTCGGAATTGCCGTTCGCAATTTATACCGTACACCACAATTTTGAAGTGGAGCGACAGTTTGCCGGGCGTGTAAACGTGTGGACAAAAGCTCAATCCCTAAATTGAAAAGCGTTGCAACGCATTTCACTTAGGCCGAGTATACTCCTTTATCATCTTTTACTATCTTTCTGTTGTTTTGTTTAATTCATTTCTTATTAAAACACATGGTTTAAACATTGTGTTTAAAACGATACCTTATCTTAACATATTTACTGGACCAAGACCATGAAGACACTTCTGTACAATATTCGTTCACTTTTCAGTTTTAACCATTTATGGTAAATAACTGATTTTATAGGAACAGTTGTGCTAAATAGTTAGTTCAAAACAGAAACACAACAGTAGACTTGTCAATCAGGTTGTCTGTCCAAAAACTAACTTAAAGTGCCTTAAAGTCGTCATGATCCCATTGTCGTCAGATTTTTGTATTCTCATTTTCTCTCGCTCGCGTTATCTGGAAGTACCAATGGCGGCTTATTTTGAAAGTTGAATATATTTTCTATTTCATTGATCTGTTCTACGTTGTATATGCAAATAACCACTCCTAAAATACGGCCAGAAAAAGCATAGTTGTGTTTGATAGAGAAAGTAAGAGCTGTCGACGATCCAATGTCTTCAGCAGCCACAATGGGCGAATTAAATGTGTAAACACGTGGCCATATGTAAACAGTGGGAAGTAACTCTGTGTCGAATAGGACATATTTTTTTGGTTTTGTATCTTAGCTTCCCTACTAAGAAAACACTACCTAGTCTATTAAAAGTAACCTTTAAATTTAATGACCACTTTAAGTACCAGTTGACGAGATTTGGGCATACCTTTTGAAAACTGCCCTCACAACTTAAAGTTATTAATAATTGTTGATAAAGCATATAAAGTATGTTGAAAATAACATGTGAATTTATTAGGTTCTGTTTATGTAAAGCGTAAATATATAAGTTTAAGATCGAATAATATTTTGTATTATTTGTAACGTATAAAAATATTTATTATATACTTATAAATGAAATATTGAGAAATATTGATGAAATGAAATGCGTTTTTTTCATTTTCCGTATTTTCACTGTAAAAATTTTATTTTTCACTGCAGTGAAACATACTTTCCGTATTTTCACTGGTGTCTTGCCGGACTACTTTCTTTTAAATTCTGCCAGTACACAAAATATAAGGGTAAGTCTTTTAACTTTAATGTCAAAAAAGAGAAAATGTTTATAATAAACAGAAAATTCAAGTTTTTTTCTATAAATACATGATTTATTTTCATCTTGTGGCATGAAAATTACCATATTTCACTCGTGGCTACCGCCACTCATGAAATATTTATTTTCATACCACTCGATGAAAATAAATCATGTATTTATAGAAAAAACTTGAATATCCTCTATAAATGTGAATTAATAAAAATCAAACTAAAACTTGAAATATATTTATGCTAACCATTGCTAATCATGGAGCGGTAAGGCTAAATTACAATTGTAATCACATGATTGTTAGATAAGAGGCGCGAGGTTAGTTTGAAGTCAGTTCCTACCAGGTCCGCCATAGCTCAACCCGGTTATAGAGCGCTGAGACTTGTAATCTACATAGTGGATTCGAATTCCCGGGCTGGCCAACCCTAAAATTATAATCAGGTCTTTTCGGAGAGACTTCAAATCGAAGTCGGTCCCGTTTTAGTGGTTTTAAATACTTGGGCACCGGTTAAATAACCAGGGGAAGCTTTCTTGGAATGGGGCTCTTTCTGTATCTTGCCTTGCAACTATCCTCCAAAATATGGACTAATATCTTCTGGAGGACTTCGCCCCTTGGGGCAACCCGGTTGGGCAAGTATAAATAAAACTCAAATACACACGAAGTCCAGTCAACGCCCTGTCGTCATTTTAATTCAAGAGGAAAAAAAAAAAAACATTGCCATGGTACTGTCAGAATGGTGATTGGCCCCGACAAAATTAAACTTAACTAGTAAAAGCAGGACTTATCCCAAATGTTTTTGTTAATGTGCTGGTTGCGCCACCACCACCTTCTTCGTCTAAAGGTAAAAAGAAGAAGCTAGGGAAGGCAAGAGCCTTGACAAGTACAGATGTACAGCAAGAAATTGAAGCAAAGGAAAGAAGAAACAACAGGATATAAAATTAAAGGAAGAAAGAAAACAGCAATGATTAACCAAGAAGATAATAAGAAACGGAATTATTTAGAAAGAAGGGGAAATGAAGAAGAAAAAAGAACTGAACTGAGAGAAAAGAGAAGAAAAACTTAAAATTCAAATGGAAAAAAGACAACTAAAGTTACGTAGGAAAGTTGAAGCCCAGTCCTTATAGACACACAAGACACAATATCAAAAACATTATTTTTGAAAAAATTACACTGATTTTCTTTTCTCTTCAGGTATAATGAAGAAATTTGTCCTAAGAAACATTCAAGTAGTTGGAATGCACCATTACGGTCGCCGGGAGTTAGATCGACTGGGGTCATACATAGTTGATATCGAGGCTAACAACTCATATGATCCAACCGCCGTGGCAGTATATGATGGCCAACGTAAAGTCGGCAATCTGAAGCGAGACAGCGGGAAGGCAATTCACGAGGTTATAACCGCCAACAAGTCTAAATCAAGATACTTAATTAGACCTATTGAAGAACTTATAAGGTGTTGTCAAGACGTGTTGGACCTCAACAAACATGTGCTATTGTTTTTAAAATACTTAAAACAGATATTGAGTGTATAACACAAATGTAAATAAGCACAGCATAATATACGCAATAGTAATGGAATTGTCTTCAAAACGTTCAACTTAAAATGTCAAGGTCATGGGTTACTGAGGCTCTTCCGTTCATGCTGGTTTTTCGTTACATGTAAATTTGTTCTGTAAAAACATTTTTATATTATTTGTGTTCACTATATTTTGCTGGCTGTATAACATTTAAAATATATATAACAACATTTCAATAGTATACGTTTTTTCAAATGTATATATATCAAAACTAGATTACATATCATTGTTAAGCTTTTAAAATTTTCTTTGATATTATTTGTCAAGAGTAATTTGCAATAAATGACATTTTACTGGTTTTAGATTCAATATTTTTTTAGATTTAAACAGTTCTTCATGTTAACAAGATTGTTTTTAAAAACATCAGAAAATTTTGACGACTTTAAGGTCCCCATTGACGACGTTTTGCCTAATGTGTGTTGACGACTTAAGGGATTCATAGGCCCTTAAGTCCGTCAGTGAGACACCTGTCTGGTTTCCCGTCTTGTATCATAAATGTTATTTATAACAGCATGCGTTAATTTTATATCAAAATGGCCAAAAAGATTCAAGTTTGATTTTTGATGACACAAGGGGAACCAGTTGCCATTAATATATTTCGTTGTGGCGGCGCGTAAAGTATTCAAAGTTGACGAGTATAGGGCACTTTACGTTAGTATTTTATGAGGCGAACTGATAAAATCCACCAATCAAGAATATTACACGTTTGCATTTTAAAACGTTTCACCGGTTAATTATGACGTCATTCTTTTCACGTGATGTCACAGGAAGTAAACAGAGAAATTTCATCGCATGTGACTGTAAGTACTGTATTTCTTAAGTTTTGTGTATTTTCATTGTTAAACAATGCGATTTTTTTACCATAAATAAGAGAAGATACATAATAAAAGAGAAGACAGTCTTCCCCCAATTAAAAACGGGGGTTTATTTAATTTTTAAATGCAAAAAAGATTGGACAAATACCCTTTTCCCTTTTAAAAAAGTGGAAATTGGGTTTATCTTTTAATTTTAAAAAGGGACCTAGTGAAATTAAGGTATTTAGGTCATTTAAAAAGACAAAGTAAGGAAATGATGTCACAATCATATGCATGACGTTAAGCAGGTTTTACCCTAGTTCTGAATACTACAGACTCAGTATTTCAATCACGTGACATAATAGATTTATAAAATAATAAAAAATGAAAACTGATTTAGAATCTAATTTGATCGATAGCTTAGCTGAAAAACTGCAGTCCAACTTTATACTGTAAATTGTCTGTAAACTGACAAGCACAGAGAAGGGAAAACAATACTGTTTAACAGCTCAAAACGTCTTCATTAAAATAAGGAACATTTATCAAGAACTTCTAGGCCTACCAATAATTTCAAAAATAGAACTCACTTGAACCTATGAATGACCCTATTAAATTTACATGTTACAAACAGGAATTTTCTAAAGCGCCATTTCAAAAATAATCGAACAAAACGTTGTTATATCACGTCCTTAATCACGCACGAGACGTCACCTGACGAAATTGACGTAATTATATTGTTGCGTCATCATGTTTGACGTTCCTAACAGTTACAACGTCTATGTGCACAACCCTTTTATTTTTGACTCCAAAGTAAACGTATTCACTACGAAAAGTGCTCAATAGGATGTAGGCGCCGTTTTCGACATAAAATCGTCGGCATGTCAGGACGACACCAAGTAATGCCGATCACTTCACTATAGTATGTATGATTTAGTAATATAGGTGTATTTCATATAAATAGATCTGGCGTTTTGATTGCACAAGGGGCAGGTCGTTAAGTGGTTGCACCATTTGTTTCAAGCGAGTGATAATTATGTTAAGTGTTTGCAAACTTTACAAAATGGCAGACGAGTCTTTGAAAATTCTTAACGCCCGCATGTATTTTCACCAGATGAGTGGGTTTATATGTTATTCTGATTATTTTTAATATGCCCATTCCTTAAGGCAATGTTTATGCCACACTCGGTTTTAGGTTCCAGCTTCCTAGCTTCTAAGTGGAAGAAGTTATTGAAAAATCAAATATAAACTGGTCTTGTACATATTTTTTCAACAAATGTTATGTATATTAATCACAGATATTTCCTTGACATTTTTTTTTATTCAACTATATTATTTTAATTGCCCTGCCCCGCCCCTACCCCTACCCTATCCGATATATAGTTTGCGAGAAGAGAAACAAACTTATGGTTGACCTAAGCATGTAATTGTCACTTCTCGTACCATTAAATGATAACATATAACCCTAAATAAATATAACACGATTTCTTATTAATTTTGAATAATAAAGACAACTCCAGTAGATTTTTTTATATTATATAATTATATCTCATTGACTTATCAACATATTTTTAATGTTACTGTAGTATAAACAATAAATGTCTTATTTTCAGTTTTCTGATTTCGCTCTAAATGTTACAATACATGATTTTTCATGTTGATATTTTGCCTCCTGAAATGTGTACATGTAGGAGAAACTGACGGCTTCAGTCGTCAGCCTGGATAACTCGTACCACGATGTCATCAAGTTTGTTGTTTGAACTTTTCAAAATTTCAGTATCGAACCGTGATGTACAATTTGTGTACTTTATTTTTCAGATAAACAGCGGCTAATACTGATCAAATGCCGTACGTATTTTATTTATTTGTTTATTTGTTTGTTTATTTGATTGATTGATTGATTGTTTGTTTGTTGTTTGTTTGTTTGGCTGTCTGTTTATTTATTTATTTATTTTTTAATTTATTTATTCGCGTCCGTCCGTTCGTTCGTTCATTCAATCATTCATTCATTCATTCATTCATTCATTCATTTATTTATTTATTTATTTATTCATTCATTTTTTTAACATCTACGACAATTAAGGTTTGGCTTACTGCACGTGCTAGTATTAATTTGAATATCTTAAAGCTATATAAATAATTCCATTTTTATTAAACCTTTTTATTATATAATTTGTTGCATAATGTAAGAATAGAAAATTTATATTATTATTTTCCGTTTCAACAGAAGACATAACTTGCATATCAATAGTGATCACTATAAAAACTCATTTTTAGTCTGTCACTAAATTTCCACGTGAACATAACAGAATTTTATAGAAACATCGAAAATTGGAAAGATTTTACTTTTTCCCGTGGTCATAATACATGAATTTAGATTTTTTTCTGGTTTTATGCCTTTCTTGATGTAAATGTAACAGAAGAAGCAATGCAAGAAAAAATGACATCGTCAAATGAGATCATAATTTAAACACCAACAACATTTAGTGTTTGAAATTATTTTTTGTCCAATAGGATTGCAGTATTTCAAATGAATCGTAACATATTTACTTTGGTAAGTCGGCAAACGGCTGTTTATAAAAATAATTCCAAACACTAAGTAGGTTAAAGTTTATTAGTACGTATTTACTGTAAATACGTAAATACGAACTAATATACTTTAACCTATAATTGTTGTTCACGACTGTTTATTCCTATTTTATCTTAGTAAATATTTACAATATTAACTCAATGGGTAGAGCGTCGGATTGCAACTCGGGAGATTCGCGGGTTCGATTCCCGGACGACCCAGGTCACTTCCGTTGTGAATGATCATAAACTCTTTTCGACGGTCATTTTCACTGTGTACCTCTGCTTTATCATGTATGAAATTTCAGTTCCTTGCAAAAATGGAGGCAACTAATAGTAAAACTAACTGCTTGACAGCCTGCCCAGAAACGATTCGGTGACTGAATTGTGCTCTGGTAAATTCAATTTGGCTTACTCCCGTGATCCTGAGTGAAAACTACTAACACCACCACCAGAAAATACTTATATACGATATAAGGACGTAAATGCAAGTTAGTTAAAGATGACCCCATAATCAAACTTCCTGAACATCTTTTTTTCCCCCAGGTTTCCAGTGAACCTCATCAGCTCGTGGGCTGTATGGAGCAAACTTGCGGGCAATGATGATGACGATTGGGTGGACAGATTGAACCATATTTACACCGTCGTCATCTTGGTTATATTTGCCTTGTTCGTCGGCGGCGAGTCGTACATCGGAGAACCAATAGCATGCTGGCATCCGGCACAAACAACGAGTAAGCAGTTTTCTACAGTTAGGAGGTTTTTTGTTTTGTTTGTTTGTTTGTTTTATTTATCGTTTTTTTGGGGGGAGTGTAAAAAAACGTACAAGAAAAACAGCAAGTAAAAAGCAGTCTTCCTGTCATACTATACAACAGTCTGTCGGTTGACGAGGGGTTTCGGGTTCGTGTCCCGGTCAGATTGCATATTTTCTCTCACCCCGTGACAATTGGAAAAAAGATGGAATCTCAGAATTTGCTGAAATCTAAATGGTCGTATATAGAATGTAAAATGTACGTAGATTTTTTGTGACATTGAAAAATCGAATTTTCAGTATCTTAAATGTTCGTCTATATTATATGGTAGCTGATTTGGAACGCTTTTGTGCTTCGTGTTGTCGCTAGCGAAAGTAGACAAAGTGCCAAATGGCGCGTTGTCGAACATTCGTCTTGTCGTCCTGTCGCTAATGATGCACGCCAAAGGGTGCGTTGTCGAACGGCGTGTTGTCGAGATGTCAGATTGTCGCTCGGCTCAAATCGAAGGATTGGCTTATAAGCCAAGCAACAGGGCGAAATTGTGACAACGCGCCGCACGACAACGCGCCGTTTGGTGTGCTTCGCTAGCGACAAGACGACAAGACGTAAATGCGATAACGATATAGGTTGTGTTGTCGCTATTGACAACGCAATGCGCAATGTGTACCAAATCAGCCACCATAATATTATGCATCATTCCATACATAAAAATTTGACTTAGTAAAAGTTGACTATTTCTGAAATTTTAAATGTATTTCCATTAGTGTTGCATGTACTTTGTAGAAATAGAATTTTCTTGAAATAGTAAACTATATTGTGTAAAGTGTGCAGTAAATCATGTCTTTATGAAAATTGGTGGTATCTCCAGAATTAAATGTTATTTTGGTTTGTATAATTTGCATAATTATTAAATCGCAAAAATAAATTCAAAGTGAAATTTACGCCAAAAGTAAAAAAAAATAGCATTTGATATTTTGCAACCGAAAGCACTTCCTATTACCACAAACATAGCGGTATGTCATATGTGTTACAGCTGTTAAGTATCAAAGAAGATCAACATTAATAATTGTTCACAAGTTCTTAAATATATTCATACAAGTACATTGAATTCGTATATGTATGTATAAGTTAAAGAAATTCACTGAATTCCTACCATAAAGGGTATGGTTTTCTTATATATAAAACTAGTGTATGTATATCAAAGCATTCAATGTTTCTGCGGTTGTACGTGCCCCTTTAGTTAAAGAAGGTAAGATGGCTGACATTCAAATCACTGGAAAGTATCCCTTACGCCGCTTAATATCTTATGAGCCGTGTCACGACAAAACCCAACATAATGGGTTTACGACCAGCATGGATTCAGACCAGCCTGCGCATCCGCGCAGTCTGCGTCCATGCTGTTCGCTTACCATCTCTATTACAAGCAGAGAAACTGATAGCGAACAGCATGGATCCTGATCAGACTGCGCGGATGCGCAGGCTGGTCTGGATCCATGCTGGTCGCAAACCCACTATGTTGGTTTTGTCATGACACGGCTCATATTTTCAAGCTGCATTCTCCGTTAAATGTCAAAGTAATTCGGTCTATATATTTGTCATAATATATCTTTAAAATACGTTATCTATAATATCTACATTTTGTACATAAGCAAAGAAGGCAAATTGAAACTAGTGAACAGAATTTTCATAAACCTTTCATGAGAATCATAATTTAGATTACTATGAAAAAAGGGAAGTCACGGTCCTAATTTTTTATTTTTCTGCCTCTTAAAGCGAGTTTTTGCTTGTTTTTATAATGTTTTAGACCATTTTCATGAGCAGATAACTCAAAAACTGTAGCATGTTTTTACTAGCATTTCTGACATTGTGCAAACTTGCGTGAGCAGCAGCCACCACTAGGCTAAGAGTTAAAACCTGCTTTATGTAAGAAGTAAGGTAACGTGGGAACTTTTCAGCTATTTTGTTGGTTGTTGATGGTTCTATTCAGAAGGTACCTGTTATAATGCAGTGACTGCCATCACTAGTACCTTGTTCTCAAAACATAAGTGGCGACAAAAGTTTACATGACCCATATTCAGTCGTCATTTTGACTGGGAATATTAGCGGCGCTTTTGCTTACATGAGGTAAATACGAAAAACCGGTAGGGCCATTTCAACTTCGTGAATTCCCGATTTCATCTTCATGAATTTACAATCTTACCTTCGTGAAATCACGTTTTCAACATGGAATTCAAGAATTCATGATTTCAGCTTCATGAATTATCGATTTTAACTTGACGAATACACGATTTCAATTTCATGAATTCACTATTTCAACTTCACGAATCCACGATTTCAGTTTAATGAAGTTGAAATCGTGAATTCGTGAAGTTGAAATCGTGAATTCATGAAGTTGAAATCGCGAATTCATGAAGTTGAAATCGTGAATTCATTTAGAAGAAATCGAGAATTCATGAAGTTGAAATGTCCCCACTTGTCTTTCGTAGGTAAATGATACTTATATAGTACTTCTATTTTAGTGCACCAAGCTAAATACGTCAACAGTTATTGCTGGATCCAGAACACGTACTTTGTTCCCATGGGTGAGCCAATACCACCTGGTCACAGGAAGCACGTGGATCTAGAAATTACCTACTACCAATATGTCCCACTGATATTGCTGTTTATGGCGTTCCTGTTCAAGGTATTTTATTCTCTTTTTGTCTTTTTACTATTTTATAAATTATACTGTTTTAGATGTTTTATTCTTTGCTACTTATGTTCTTTTTTTCCTTTTTGAATTTTACCAAAAATGCAAGAACACCAGAATTTATTTAAATTTAGTGAGAGAGTCTTGCAATTATGTATCACAGAGCAATACCATGTGACACAATATATACATTACTGAAATGAGTTGTATTTAGGATCATTATGTGACTTTTTCCAGTTGTCAAGTAGACATTAACCTGGGTTGCTGACAGCCATAACTTAATTCTTTGTGCCGAAGTTATCAAAACTGGCAAATTGACGAAAGAGCGGTAGGCCAATTTTTATTTCATCTTCATGAATTCACAATTTCAACTTCGTGCATTCCTGTTTTAAACATACGGTATTCACGAATTCACGATTTCAGCTTCATGAAATCGTGAATTCATGAATGTGAAATCGTGAATTCATGAAGATGAAATCCTGAATTCATGAAGTTGAAATCGTAAATTCGTGGAGATGAAATTGAGATATCATGAAGTTGAAATGTCCCCACCGGTCTGTCGTAAAATTACGACTGACTGACTTAATTTTTCCAACATTACTTTTTATTGGAGCGCAATGACATTAAGTGTGATTACGCTATGTTTGTACATGACAATATTTATCCACCACATGGCATATCGTTTTCACTGGGAACATATTTGTGATTAAATGTTTATTATTTTAGTTGCCGTGCTTGATATGGCGAAGTTTTTCCGGCTATTCCGGTATAAACCTTTCAAAGATCGTTCAGATGACCGCCTCTGCACATTACATCGAGGACAGTAAACGGGAGGAGAAAATTAATGAGATCTCGAGGGTTGTGGACCGTTGGCTAGAGGCAAACCGGCAGTACCACTGGAACATTTTGGTCAGACTCCGGCAGAAAGTGTCACGTATTTGCTTCTTCATGAATAGAAGAGAAGGGACCTATCTCACGGGTAATTTCCTTTTCTTATAAAGATATACATAATTCGATAAATATCGGCAAACATTGGTGAACGTCGGCAAAACAGGCCATTATTTATTTCATTACTTCGTAATTGCCTGTCATTGACATGCGCGGATCTAAATGAGGGGTTCATAATCAACTCTTGGAGTTGGCTATTATGAGAAACCCCTCTGCGGTTTATCAACTTCCTTTTTTAACGATAATCACTAAAAAAAGTCGTCAAAATCAATTATATTTTGCTCGTGACTTCTCTGGAAAAACTAGTTAAATGTCAACCCCTTTCCATTGACCATTGTCGAAGTTTGAGAACCCCTCTGGTTAGAAAAATCCTATGTCCGTGCCTGCTTGATAACTATATGAGCCGCGCCATGACAAAACAAACATAGTGCTTTTGCGACCAGCATGGATCCAGACCAGCCTGCGCATCCGCTTAATCCAATCAGGATCTATGATGTTCGCTTACAAACCCTATTACAAGTAGAGAAACTGATAGCGAACATCATGGATCCATTACATTGGTTTTGTCTTGGCACAGCTCACATGATATTTGGATTTTTACATTAACATGGTCTAATGCCAGTTGTTTAAGATAATGATTACAAGTGACCTATGACCTGTCTGGACTCTATATATTTTGAAGTTCATTGATAAAGATATATATCCCCTAATTTTATAACTCTCTCTCTACGTGATAGGTTTGTACCTGTTCGTGAAGTTGTTGTTTGCAGTGAACGTCATAGGCCAGTTCTTCATTCTGGATACATTCCTAGACGGGTTCTTCAGTCTATGGGGTATAGAGGCTATGTACAGTCTAGCGCATGAATACAACGTGAAAGAGTCCCGGAGGTTTCCCAGGGTTACCATGTGTGACTATGAAGTTCGAGAGCTGCAAAATGTCCTGGTATGGAAAATTCTTTATTTTCCCATCTTTTCACACAGCACATTCTAAGTCTTGCTATCAAATTTGCTTATAGAGTTTGAAGTCATTTTGCTTTCACCTGGCCGCTTTTGAATATAAAATATATCGTATTTCCTTTTGAACGAACATTCGAACAGTGTGTACTACCTTAAACCTTATTAAACTATATCATGTTACCATTTACAGCCGAGGAGTCCAGTGTGTACTACCTTAAACCTTAAACCTTATTAAAATATATCATGTTACCATTTACAGTTGAGGAAAGTCCAGCTTTACTTAAATATATCAGGTCACCATTTTCAGCCGATGACTGTCCAGTATGTTTTACCTTTAACCTTATTAAACTATATAATAATATAACCATTTACAGCCGAGGACAGTCCAGTGTGTGCTGCCTATAAACCTGTTCAATGAGAAGATATTTCTGTTTCTATGGTTCTGGTTTATACTGGTATCAGTGATCTCGTGTTCTAACATCATCTTCTGGTTCTGGAGAACATTCTTTCAAAGAAACCGGACATCTTTTGTTAAAAAGTACCTGACCGTCAGTTCTAGGTAAGATTCGAACACTGCTACATGAACTCCAGACTTATTGTCATGTTAATTGAATAAAAATGCTTACATGTTAAACAGTTTTTAAAATTTGAAAAAACATACCAATGTCCATGACATAAACTCAATATAATTTGTTTATTGTCCCCCGCCTTGTCGAAGAAAAAAGGAGGATATAGAAATAGGTCCGTCCGTCTGTCCGTCCGTCCGAGCAAATATTTTAGGTTTAGGGGCTATATAACAGTAAAGAGAACAAAAGAGAACAATAGGTTCATTCCGTGATCAAAGGGTTTAGGGGCTAGTAGCCCTTAAGATAACAAGGAAAATAACAAAGAAAATAGCCCCTAAAGCCAAAATGTTGGAACGTCCGTCTGTCACACTTTCGTGTCCGGTCCATAACTTTGTCATTTATGAAAGGAATTTGAAATAACTTAGCACAAATGTTTATTATAATAAGACGATGTGTCATGCGCAACAACCAGACACCTACCTTCAGGGTCAATGTCGCACTTGCTCATTCAAGGTCAACATTGTCTATTTGAGGGTATATGTCGTGTCCGTTCCATAACTTTCTTACCTATGAAGGGATTTTGTAAATACTTGCCATAATTGTTCACAATAATCAGACAACGTGTCATGCGCAAAAACCGGACACCTACCTTCAAGGTCAAGGTCACACTTGGAGGTCAAATATTAACATAGTCTGTTACAGGGTATATTTCGTGTCCGGTCCATAACTTTGTCATTTATCAAAGGAATTTGAAATAACTTGGCACAAATGTTTTTTATAATAAGACAATGTGTCATGCGCAACAACCAGACCCCTACCTCCAGGGTCAAGGTCGCACTTGCTCATTCAAGGTCAACATTGTCTATTTGAGGGTATATGTCGTGTCCGGTCCATAACTTTCTTATCTATGAAGGAATTTTGTAAATACTTGCCACAATTGTTCACAATAATCAGACGATGTGTCATGCGCAAAAAACCGGTCACCTACCTCCAAGGTCAAGGTCACACTTGGAGGTCAAATACTTACAGAGTCTGTTACAGGGTATGTTTTGTGTCCGGTCCATAACTTTTTTTATAGATCAAAGGATTTTGAAAATAGTCACTATAATAAGACGATGTGTCATGCGTAACACCTGCATTCCTACCTCCAAGGTCAAGGTCACACTTAGAGGTCAAAAATTAACATAGTCTGTTATAGGGTATATTTTGTGTCAGATCTAGAACTTCTTCATAGTTCAAGGGATTTTGAAATAACTTGGCACAAATAGTCACAATAATAAGACGATATGTCAAGTACAACACCTGCACCCCTACCTCCAAGGTCAAGGTCACACTTAGAGGTCAAAGGTTAACAGAGTCTGTTATTTGGTATATTTTGTGTCCCGTCCATTACTTCTTCATAGATTAAGGGATTTTGAAATAACTTGGCACAAATAGTCTCAATAATAAGACATTATGTCATGCACAACACCTGCTCCCCTACCTCCAAGGTCAAGGTCACACTAAGAGGTCAAAGCTTAACATGATAGATTTTTAAATTCTGTGTTTCATTTAATTTTTTTAACAAATTTATTGTTGCATTTGCAGATCTAGCATTGATCATAATTTTGGACTGAATGTCCCGAGATCCATACCTCAATCTTTTGAAATAGCACAATTTTATGCTTCATATAAAACTTCCCGAGGCGGGGGACGTTGGTAACTCTGTTACAAATTCTTGTTTTAACACTGTCTGTATTGTTGAAAATAAAACAATTTATACTTGTTAGGGAGCACGCTTTTATTAATCGTGTACTAAATATTGAAAAGGTTTGGAACAAAATGGAAACTAGTAACGATAACCAACTGTCATTTAAAATTTTAAAAAAAATAAGGTTTTCTTTTGCAGGATCCACACGGCATCCGATAAAAAACTTTGTAAAAAGTTTGCTACGTACCTACGTGACGACGGTATATTTCTCATCCGAATGATTCAGAAGAATTCCAATGACATGCTCGTCACTGATATGATAACGAGGCTCTGGGAAATCTACCTCGAGAAGCCAGTCGTAAAGAAGATGATGATGACGTCAAATGGTGCAGACACCGGAAATAACAACCGACCACGTGTTTCGGCACCACCAGCAAAGGAAAACTACATTTAATGACGAAAACTGTCGATTTATATAATTTCTTGTGTGTTTTTTTTGTAAGAAAACAAACGACAAAGAATATCATATGAAATTTCGAAACCTTTTTAAGCAGATTTGATGATATTTTTTATTTACACAGGACTTTATGTTTATAACTTGTATCCATGATTCTAAACGAACTTTTTTGACAAATTTACTTTTAATGCCTGTTGTAAATTGCAATTTGACGAACATTACGTTGTTATTATTACAAAGTCTAGCTAAGAATGAACTTAACTTTAATTTAACTTTAAATGTTGATTTTTTATTTGTTTACTATGAAATCGAAATTAAGATTACAGGTGTTTATGAATTTGACCGGTAATTTGATGATAAATTTAGCGTGACGTGTAGTTTTATGTACTTTTTCATTTCATTTACTTTTTCTAAATTTAATTTTCTGTATATTTTAATTGTGAGAAATGCGCTGTTTTAATGTCACTTGTACTTAAAATGAAATTCCAGAATTTATAGTTTTGTTCATTTGAATTCATGTCAATTAACATGTATATGATTAAAGTTGGGTGAAATTATCTACTAGCAAAGTGGAATATTTACGGTGTTTCGATCTTTTTCATAGAATGTTCAGGTTTAATTTTGATAGTTATAAAATGTTAAAAAACAAATTAAAACATGAATTTATTACCTTGATATTATTGAATGTGCTATATTTACAGCATTTGTATGTATTGGTCTTTGGAAAGGCTTATAAGTACTGAATGTACATGTGTTTTTCTTTTTTTCTGTATTTTTACTAATTACATTTTTTTCATGTTCAACGAATTATAAAAAAGAACCATTATTGTGTATGTATATACGTTACCTTGTGAACAGATAAACAATTTTAGGAAGTTGCCATTTTTTTTGGTTGTAATTTGATTATTTACATCTTTAATAAATATACTGTTAATTTCATGAACGGTAATTATTGGAGAGGTTTGCACAGGTTTATCTTTCTTGCTGTGTGGAGGAATCCTAAAATTACAGACGGTGTAATTATAAAATCATAAAATTTACGACGGATTGAACAAACAAAATAGCCTTTGCTATAATTAGTGTTGGTGCCATTTTTCCATTTATCTAATGTTAAACAAGAAGTATATTTAAAAAGATACTCGGCCGAAGTAAAACTGGTTAACTTGCATAATCATGTTATAACGCACCCACCACATTAATTGTTCGAAAGTTCATTTTAGAACTATCCTTTATGTTTTATTTGATAAAAGCAATAACTATCCTTTACATTTGTTTAGAACTATCTTTTACATTTTATCATAGAAAAGCTAATGAGATTCCAGGATTTCAGTTGACCAATTGAAATTCTTCTTAGACTTGCATTCAATTCTTCCCTCCAAATTGTACAGGTAGTCAAACTGATTTTAGACGGCCTTCGGCCGGAAAACAGCCCTTATGGTGGTTTGAAGGATTTCTATGCGTTAAATCGTGTTCAATTAGAGAGCTTAAAATACGGTGTCTGTCTGATATTATAAGCATCGTGAAATCGGATTTAGAATACCGACAACAATATCTGTCATACGTTTGAAATGACATCTTTGAAACGCAAAATTGCTTTTGTTATTAAGATTTATTATAGATGTCGGACATGAAACGCAAACCAGTACATATAAAGTTTTTAAAATGTCGATTTACCGCTTATAGTGAATTTGAATAAGGAGTAAAAGTTTATTTTGGAGAACAGAATGTATTCTTCAAGTTTTAGCAAGAATCAAACATATAGTTTGTGTACTTCCATTCCTAACATTGGCCCTATCACCGAGGTTTGACTATAGGATGTAGGATGGTTGATTTCATGCATCTATTATTTCATCACGGGACTTGGACAGAATTCCCGACATGTGATCTCCTTCATGCCTCATCAAATGAACTAAAAGCCTGGAGTGTAAACTATTATATAAATAATAAAAACTATTGCGCATAATAAAACCTGTTACTTATAATAAAACTTTTGCGTAAAATAAAAATTATTGCGCATATTAAAACCTTTTCAGTGCGCAAACGTATAATACCTTGCAACAAAGCTTAACGAAAAAAAGGAAAGAAAAAACATTTGAGCCGCACAGTCTGATCAGGATCCATGCTGTTCGCTTACAAACCCTATTTATAACAAGACGAGAAACTGATAGCGAACAGCATGGATCCTGATCAGACTGCGCGGATGCGCAGGCTGGTCTGGATCCATGCTGGTCGCAAACCCATTATGTTGGTTTTGTCATGACACGGCTCAAATTTTCAACTACCAACTGTAATAACCAAACCATCTGTAACATTATCGATTAGCAATGTTTAATATGAAATACATTAAAATGGTCAGGAGTTCGAAGTTCATTGAATATTTAAACTTTTGATACTTTCATTGAACTTTATGAAACATATGTGTCTATTTAATTATTACCAGAAAAAAAAATTATATGATACCGTCAAGTAACGTTCATTTAAATGATAGTTTCTGATAATCATAGCGGTACAACAATGTTCAAATTGCTTGGGAATCTAGGCCTTACATTTATGTTCTTAGTGGTGACTTTGCTTGGATCTTCGGTAACATGTAAGTTGTTTTTTATTTTATTGAATATTTTTAACTCGTTTTAGTAATACGATTCCATATGCCGCTTTAAATGAAATTCGTTTATAAATAATTGTATTTTATTTAAGCCGTGAATATAATAATTATGTTGAGTTACTGGTTATAGTCTTTATAGCTTGATATACACTGAGAATAGTTTTCTTGAAGTAATTCTATTGTACAATATAATTCCCTTGCGGTAATATTTCTTTTTTTTTTTTACTGCTTCGTAGATTTTTTTTAAGATAACTTTATGTCCCTCGTCATGGGTATGTGGGGGTCGAGGGCATCCCCCTCCATACCTTACAAAGATTTTATTTATCATATATATATATACACATGTATCAAATATTTGTTGATTAAGTAACAATTATTGTCATTGAGTATTTATCACAACTTCACATTTCCACAATAATATATACACATGTTCATACACAAAAAAATTAATATACGTACAAATAAAATCACAAGGGAAATAAAAGAAGAGAAAAAAGGAAAGGTAGCTCATACATTGAACAGAGAAAACATTACGTAGTTGTTTCTTATACTCAAACTTTTAACCAAAAAAAGTGATATTTCTTCTTGGTTATATACCAAACTTCTTATTTTTGTGCATTATTATTATTATTATTATCATCATCATCATCATCATCATCATCATTATTATTATTATTATTATTATTATTATTATTATTATTATTATTATTATTTTAACTATAACTTAAAAGACAAATAAATCAAACCGTAGAATCTGATATTTCAGCGGACGTTGACTGCTCGTCACCCATGTGTGTCAGTAAAACTTTTAAAGATGGCTGCGAGGGAGTTCAAACTGACCGCTATCAAACATACAGTCACGAGGGTAGCTGCAACTTTGAAAACAAGGGAGATAATTCTGGAATTTTGTGCTGTCCTATTGTAGAAAAATAATGTAAGTATAAATTTATATCAAGCAGATACTTAGTATCAGACGAAACAAATGCTATGATAAGAATCCCACCCGAAGCAATAAAATGCTAAAATAAAGTTATTTATAATATTATAACAGTATCCATCACTCCAAAGGTCTTCCGATGTCATCTTCGTCATGAAGCTATTTTTATTTTACAGGACGTGATAGACGGCAGCCGAGCTGAGGCAAAACCAGTCTAAACGGCAAATCTTGGAATTACATTAACGCTAACTCTGAATTTATATTACATGTATTGCTTTTCCGACCATATGTTAACGTTTATCTGGACAATACATTATTGTTTATCTTGACATCACATTAACATTTACCTTGACATCACATAAACGTTTTTATTAAATACTTATAAATGAAATATTGAGAAATATTGATGAAATAAAATGCGTATTTTCATTTTCCGTATTTTCACTGTAAAAATTTATTTTTCACTGCAGTGAAACATATTTTCCGTATTTTCACTGGTGTTTTGCCGGACTACTTTCTTTTAAATTCTGCCAGTACACAAAATTTAAGGAAAGTCTTTCAAATTTTATCGCAAAAAAGGGAAAAATGTATATAATAAACAGAAAATTCAAGTTTTTTCTATAAATACATGATTTATTTTCATCTTGTGGCATGAAAATTACCATATTTCACTCGTGGCTACCGCCACTCGTGAAATATTTATTTTCATACCACTCGATGAAAATAAATCATGTATTTATAGAAAAAACTTGAATATCCTCTATATCTTGACGTTACATTAACGTTTATCTTGACATCATATAAACATTTATCTTGACGTGACATTAAAGTTTATCTTGACATCACATTAACGTTTAATTTGACATCATATAAACGTTTATCTTGACATTACACTAACGTTTATCTTTACGTTACATTAACGCTTATCTTGACGTTACATTAATGTTTATCTTGACATAACATTAACGTTTACCTTGACATTACATTAATGTTTATCTTGACATTACATTAACGTTTTTCTTGACATCACATAAACGTTTACCTTGACACCACATTTAAAGTTTTTCCCATCATTTTAAACGGGTTTTTCTTTACATTAAAAATTGATTTCTGGGCTAAAGTGGGGTTTGGGTTGATTTAAAATCACACACAGCTTAAAAAGACACCTTTTTAAAAACGGGTTTTAAAAAAGTTTGATGCTTTTTTTGTTTTTAAAAATTTAAAATTATTTTAAAAGTTGAAAACGAATAGATTTTTTTTATTATTGTCGTCTGTCTTTAAGCTTATTAAAACACTCTCGAATCCGTTCCTGGAACCAACCAGTACTAAGCAATAAGTGTATAAAGTGTCTTGCTTCAGGAAACAATGGGTTGCCCCTGACAGGGTTTGAACCACACGGTCTGCAATCTTTAGATTACTAGTCCGACGCGTTAACCACTCTGCCACGCCGCCAAGTCAAAGTAAGATAAGGCTTACAAATATGTATACAGTCTTACCAGTGTTAGAATTGTCTGCTGCTCAAGTTTAATCTGTTTTTGTTGTTATTTATATTTAATGCGCACTGTGGCGAAAATGCTCGCAAGCAAAGTGTGAAATATAGCTCCTATATTTAAGTCATATAAAACGTTTTTTAAAGTTTATGTTTTGCAAAAAAAATAAAATAATTCTATTTTATACATAGAATGAAAAGTAGGAAAAACTGTAAACTAAAAATTTTTCTGAAAATTAAATATGATCTTTCTAAAATTTTAAAGCGAACTTTAAAAGACGAAAAGGATCCCCTTTTTTTGCATTTGTATATTTTGTTTTTAAAACGAATTTCAAAAAATAACTTTTTAAAATTGGTTTCCCCTTTAAGGAGGGCACTTTTTTTAAAATTCTCCCTAAACTATTCCTGATGCATGTTGGGTTGGCGCATGGTCGAAATTTGTAATAAAATAAATGTTTTCAAAAGAGTTTTCGTACGGAACTGTCTGGTACAAAAAAAAAGTTCTTATAAAAATGTTTAACTCGTAATAATGATAATCAGGATTTTGTGACTTCTTTTTAGGATTTATGAAAGCCTAATTTTCACTTTAAATTAATAGTTCTAAAACCCTTATTAAAACTTAAAGAAAGAGGAGACATAGAACTTTGTTACTCTCAGTTTCAACTAATTAGGAATTTTACTCATAATAAGGAGAAATAAACCTAATAACATCTTTGTAACTCTTTATAAAGAGTTTTAAAAGCCATGCAAACTACCGTCCACGCCCCTAGTTACGGCTTAAGAAGGATTCAACATTTATCATGAAAATGGTGAATTTCTGAATTGAGAAACACCCGAAGATGTGTTCATACTTTTGTGCCATTCCAAAGCGTAAAACCTAAAGGAGAAAGCAATGGGTGGAACTAAACAAAATGGAATTTTCCAAAGGGAATCAGAGATGAAGCCTGCGTATCACAGATGAGACATCAAAAGACAAATTTAAAAAGAGGGCACAACCTAAGTGTGATTCAACATTAATCAAGTAGGAATATTGGAACCAAATAGTAAGAACAAAATGTATATTGAGATATTCCAGCTTTACTGGTAGAGGAAGGCCTCTGGTACCCCGACGTGCAAGAACGGAAACCTGAGTAGAACCACCGATGTCCCGTAAGCTATAGCTTGACAGTTTCCTCACATGTAAGAATCCAAAGTACCACGGCGGGATTCGAACCCACAGCGGTGAAGTGCAGGTAGATGGACACAAGTCTAGTTAAATATTTGAAAAAATATGAAAAACAATATGCTTAAAATATGAATATGTTACGCACCTGCCAATATGTTGCACATTTTAATTTCAAACAAAAACACATTTAAAGTGCAACACCTTTAATATTTATGATTTTGATAACAAGCCATGAAGGAATTGATATGTGGATGTTGATAATAAAATGTTCTAGAACAAAATATTAGTAGCGAGCTCGACGAGCTGGCCTGAAGGGCCTGCTTGCAAAGCGAGCTTTACGGTAACGCGAGTGCCTGCTATAGATAGTGTTGATTTTGAAAACTTTCGTCGGAAGTACTGAATTGACACATCGCAACTTTTCGAATTACAAGATAACGACAAAAGCCGAGGAATTCTGATTGAAAACGGATGCGTAGACTGGTATCCTGCGCACTTTCAAAGGAACCATAATAGGACAGGAAGCCAGAATAAAAAGAATCAGTGTATAAAATACCGAATGACAGTTTAAAAATAAAAATTTAAAGGTTATTTTATACTATTTCACGGTTAAAGTAAATCGAGTTCGCTTTGCGGCTTTGCCTTTTTCATATAAATCCATCATATAAATGTCATTAATTCGTGTAAAACTAGATTAACATTTTGTTCTAAAGCTATTTTTATCATGAATATACTACGGTAGTGTTGCGACATTTAACGACAAGGGAAAATCGTGCGACATTTAACGTTACCGTAGCGGCATTTAACGACAGAAGCGTTTGCGACATTTAGCAGCGTATGTGACATTTAATAATGATAATAATAATAATATTATAGTAGTAGTAATAATAATAATAATTATTATTATTATTTAATAATAATAATTTTAATAATATCTTTATTTAAAGAAGGTAACACATGAAGACATACCATCATAACACAAATAACATATCTTTATTTTAAATGTGGCCTTCTAAACAATATATAGAAACACATAACATCATAAAACAACAACTATTTTATTAAGATCTTTGACATTTTGATAGACAGCTCTTTTTAGATATTAAATATCATTCATACCATTTTCATTTACAAATAATTTAACAAATATACATGGATAATAAGTATTATAACATAATGATCGAGTTAAGAATCTATTTATTTGATCTGCAAGATATGTTTTTATGCTTGTTTTAAAAGATGTTAGAGAATAAGAAGAACGGATATTTGATGGTATTCTATTCCATTCTTTAACCCATTGTAACAAAAAGTTTTTTAACCATAGTTTGTGCAGTTTGTTACTTTTTCATAATGTAGGTATTCAATAATGACCGTTTTATCATTCAGGAAGTCTCATTAACGGTCGATTGATCTTCCCGGAAGTCTTTGAAAAACAGGATGAAAGACAGCAATAACTGACTCTTAAAAGCTTATGTAATATTCAAATGGTGATCTACAGATCAATTGTTTACAATCGACCAATAACGTATTTGTTGACAGTTTATCTGATTGATTGATTTTAAATGTTGCAAACATAATGTTTCATACCTATTCCCTCCAACTAGCTTTATTGTATATACACTTAACACTTTAATAACAATTTGAAAAAAAGACTTATAAGTATTGGTTAGGGTTTAGAAGTTTTTGAAATGAATTGTAACACATTTTCTTTGGTAAATCCTTGTTATTTACATTCTCTTAAACATCATGATGGACTTTGTCAATATTTCTCCATTTTTTCCAGCCGTTTTTCCGTACATGCCATTCATGTTGAGATATAGATCACAGTCTATGTCCGGATACCACCAGCCCCCACCGTACTCACTGACGCAAGGTATCGCTGAATCCCTGTCAATCGTAGTGAAGTTAGCTCCGACAGCTAGAAACGAAATTAAATTGTATCAGTCAATCAAAATCAAGGGAATTCCTCTGTAGCAATTAATTACGTCTTAAAGCATAAAATTTAAAAATTTACTTACATCAAATAGGGCGCTTGAATGATAAGGACATGCTCAGAATTAAATTAAAAAATCGATTTTTTACAGAGATTCTTAAACCGATTTGAGGCAAAAGCCTTTATAAACTCCTTTAACTTTAGATCATTTTTCAAAATGCAAATGATAAGGATGAAATAATCTTGAAGTTTCTATGGTGGCTGATTTGTGTCATTCGTGTTTTCGCCCAGCGACCCCGCCATTTTAACTTTTAAATTTGGCGGAGTCGCAATTGACTCAAATCAGCCACCATAAGTATGAATACCATAGACCTGCATCAAATGGTGTAAGGGACTCGGCAAGTTTTTAAGCTAGCATTGCCTGTCAATATATTGACAAAGCACCTATAAATTCCAGTTGAGACTACCAAAATATCTTGTCTCATAACCGAGACCCTCTTTAGGACCACACCCCCTCACGAGTAAAACACGTTTCGACAGAAAGGAAACCCCTCGTATTGTATTTATATATTTTACATTCGTCTATGAAAGATCCTGGTAAATTTGGTTCCATTAGGGTGTACTGTGAGCCAACGAGTTTAAAGTGACTAATCAAAGCGGACATCCTATGCCAGTTATCCAGTAAAATTTCCATTCTCAAGAAACTTGGCTTTTTAGTAAGTTCCTGGACAAATTTAAGTCCTGCAAAATAAGTGTCTAACATAAGCACATAAGAAGCAGTGCTATGGAGCTCCTTTTATGTTCATCTTTTTTTTTCATAATTATTTTTTATTTTATAATTAATTTTATTTATTGTTGTTTTTTTGTTTGTTTGACTTCACTTAAACTGTATATAGGTTCTTATGCATTTGTTACAAAAATCATTTACGAGGATATTTGCTATAAATTTCTAAGGGCAGAAATTTGTAATGGAAATAGCTAATAAAATATATAGTGTGTAAACGCAAACACCGATAAAATATGAAGCGAGTCACAACCAAAAACATTATTAGGTTTTAGAAATACACAATGAAATGAAAGTTTGGATTTTAGTTCATATAATAAAGGGTGATAACTTTGTGTAATTAATGTCCAAAGATACGGGACAGAACGTGTGATTATGAAAGCATGTTACAAGTATATGGCTGCAAATATCGCCATCATTGGCAGATAATAAAAATTATAATGTCAATATTACATATTAATATTTTTTACCGGAATGTTTAATAAACTTACCAAGCCAGAATTCGCCATTTAGGTCACCAAATCCGTTTTCGTAGTCAAAAAAAGTTTTCGTAAAGTTGACACTACCATTAAATCTGTTTTGAAACACCTTTATTGTCATGCAAATAAATATAAAAGTTAATTAAGATACCTGTTATATAAACAATATATTTATGAATTTGACAAAAAAAATGCACATAACAGCAAATGCATTAGCAGTTGTTCGATTCCCGTACTAGCCAACTAAAATTTCAAAAAAGTCTAGGAGATTTAAAATCGAGGGCTCGTGTGTGAGTCGGGGAAACGTCAGTATCTTGCACTATCCTACAAAATCTAAAATGGCCAATACTCTTCTGGAGGTCTCGAACATACGGGCAACCAGTGGCTTTATAAGTTAAACTCAAATATACACGCGTTTCTCAATAACCGATTTCATTCGGAACTGCCTCGGCTATTATCTATAATGTCCTTATCCGAAGACTGACGAAGGGCCGAAAAGTTGCGATTGTAACTGATTGATCATGCGGGTTCTGCTTAATCTGGTTCTTACAGTATAAGGTAGCCTGCAAAATGTACTCCCATGTTGGTCGAACGTTTTGGTAAATATGCCATGATTGATAAGTACAGTCCGACCCCGGTTATTCGACAACCCTTTATTAGAATACGCAGCATTACCCTAAGTACTAGTAGATCATCTGTCCCGTTTTTATCTCTTACTACAAAATAAGTATACGGACATATTCGAATACATTTTTCGAAGTAGAATTATACGACTATAAATGTAGATGATATTCAGTGAAGATATAAGAAATATTTAACTGTCAAAAGTTGTATACCGTCCATCCTCCACCTTCAGTTGTCATGTCGCAGAACACATGTACTGTTTCCAACTCTCGAAAAATGACCTCATAAACACCACTTTCTGCAGTTTCAATTTGCTCCAGTATATCCAAGCAATCGATCTCAATTTCTAAAAATAAATTTTTATCTACTTATTTATTTATCTATCTATCTATTTTATCGTTTTAATATGTACCAGTAAATCCCACATTAATTATTTTCTGCAATAACATTTTGTTTCAATATGTCAAAGCCATCGACCTCGTGTTCTAAAAAATAAATTTTGTTCTATTTATTTATTTATTTATTTATTTATTCATCATTTATTTATTTGCTTACATTTCATTCATTCATTCATTCATTCATTCATTCATTCATTCATTCATTCATTCATTCATTCATTCATTCATTCATTCATTCATTCATTCATTCATTCACTCACTCATTCATTCATTCATTCACTCATTCACTCACTCACTCACTCACTCACTCACTCACTGATTTATTTATTTATTTATTTATTATTTTTCTTCTATTTTTTTTCATTATTATTTTGTTATTACATTGTATATAATTTTATCTTATTTATTTATTTATTTATTTATTTATTTATTTATTGTTTGTTTGTTTGTTTGTTTGTTTGTTTGTTTGTTTGTTTGTTTGTTTGACATGACTTGACTTAAACTGTATAGGTTCTTATTATGCATTTGTTACAAAAATCATTTACGAATATATTTATATAAACAATTTGCTATATTTTCTAAGGGGCATAATTTTGTAATGAAAATAATTTATAAAAATATGTTATGTAAAAGTAAACACCGATAAAATATGAATAACGTCTCAATCAAAAACATTAATAGGTTATTAAGTACCAGTTAACCCCATGTTAATATAAATTTTATATCAATAACCCTTTTATCAATTTTAAAGAACGCTTCAACAACGAAAAATACGATATCAACTATAACATGTATAAGAAAAAAATGAAGAAAAAAGTTATACAGTTTTAGAGAGAGAAAAAACACTATTTTTTGGAAAAGGAACTTTCTCCGATTCAGAAATTTATTTTTTTACAAAGAACAAAAATTCATTAATTCTCCATTAGGTAATTATCTCCAAATTACTTTTCTTTACTAATTGAGCCGCGTCATGGCAAAAAACAACATAATGGGTTTGCGACCAGCATGGATCCAGACCAGAATGCGCTTCCGCGCAGTCTGATAGGATCCATGCTGTTCGCTATCAGTTTCTCTACTTGTAATAGGTAAGCGAACTGCACGGATGCGCAGGCTGGTCTGGATCCATGCTTGTCGCAAACCCATTATGTTGGCTATGTCGTGACGCGGCTCAATTTATATATAAGGTAGACTTGCTATAAGATGTAAGTACTTTTTGCCAAGTTCTTGTGGTAATATTCCCTTCAAACTGAACTTTTATCTTCTTTGGACCATATACCATTTACAATTTTTCAACACTTTTTTGTTCGATATTCAGGGATGAACCGTTTATTGATAGTGTAAGAACTCGTGGTTCCAAACTTTTGCTTCTTTTATATAAATATTAACATTATTTGACACCGTTATATTTGTGTGTAGGAGAAAAACCTACAATAAAATGTAATTTGATAAAAATAAAAAAACTAATCAAAATTCACATACTTCTGGTAGAATAATGTACAAATCCCATCTGTGCGTTCGAAGGGAGATATCTATTAAAATATTGACATCCAATGCAAAGATGATCTTCTTGTCGGAAGAGGACGGACTCACAAGCAGCATGTTCAAAACACAGCCTTCCGCATGTCACTTGATCAGGAACGCCGCCTTTGATGAACCGTGCATTTTCTGCAGGGCAGCCTGGCTCTACGGATTCTTCGTCAAAATTAAACTTTTTCCAGTGTGCCACGTTTGTCGACATCATGCCAAATCCAGTAAAAAATATCCAGATAATTATGTAAAAGGTAATCGCTTTTGCCTGTTCTCTTCTCGAAATTTTCATTTTGTAAGTATTTTTTTCTATTGTCGGGTAAAGAGAATAAACTGTGTCTCTACACCGCTGCGAACAATATCAAGAAAGTGCTTTTTCACTTTTCAACTATTCTAGCATTTTCTACGAGATCATTAGTGTCACGTGACATATACTATTACAAAATGTATACCCGTACAATATTCTTTTACTACGTTATCATAAACAAAACTTAAGCTAATAACATTTTCATTTTGCAATAGAAACAGGAATTATGTTCATCTTTATGCTTTCGTGCTTACATTTATTTTATCTTTTTTTGTATTTGAACTTGTGCCACTGATTACATTATTTCATGCCTATATAGCTATAATGTTGTTGTTAAATTTATGCAAATAAGTGTTGCTGTTTTTGCTGTTGTTTTACTATTATATTTAAAAAATGGCACCTCATAGAAAATTATGAAAAATCTTGAAATTAACCAAAATCGATTTTTTCCATGTTTAAACATGGCCTCACGCATAATTTTGATGAAAAATAGTTGTTATGTGGAATTTTTGATATTATGCATCAAGTATTGGTACAGATTCTAGTATATTTTAAACTGCCTATACAAATACTCAGAAACAAACATCCACGACAAAACCAACATAATGGGTTTGCGACCAGCATGGATCCAGACCAGCCTGCGCATCCGCGCAGTCTGATCAGAATCCATGCTGTTCGCTTACAGACCCTAAAACAAGTAAAGAAACTAATAGCGATCAGCATGGATCCTGATCAGACTGCGCGGATGAACAGCATGGATCCTGATCAGACTGCGCGGATGCGCAGGCTGGTCTGGATCCATGCTGGTCGCAAATCCATTATGTTGGTTTTGTCGTGACGCGGCTCATTTATATAAGATAAAACACTGATTTAGCGACCGTTGCAAAATGACTTGTCTGATAATATCCATTTAGTCCTTAGTGTTTCGATCAAAAAATGGTTTTAAAGAACAAAAAACATATCGAATTGTAGAACAAAACAGCCTGGCTCAAATTGCTGTAAAACGCTAGCTTTTATTATTATTTCCGTTCCCCCAGAATGCATTGTATATAAGTGTGAAAAGATTATACAATCAAAAGTGTTGAAGATTGATGCAGATTTTGCCGGTGCTAGGGGGCATATGAGATGTTGCACTGTTTCATAATTTCCCAAGAACAGATTCAATCAAACCGAATCTCCAATTATTAATTTTATATTTTTGCTTCTTATTTTTATTTATTATTTATTGCTTCCGAGGGATCACCCGTTTACCAGATATCTGTAATTTGGATATTTGAATTTAACTGTTCTAGAACAAAATATTAGTAGCGAGCTCGACGAGCTTGCCTGAAGGGCCTGCTTGCAAAGCGAGCTTTACGGTAACGCGAGTGCCTGCTATAGATAGTGGTGATTTTGAATACTTTCGTCGGAAGTACTGAATTGACACATCGCAACGTTTCGAATTACAAGATAACGACAAAAGCCGAGGAATTCTGATTGAAAACGGATGCGTAGACTGGTATCCTGCGCACTTTCAAAGGAACCATAATAGGACAGGAAGCCAGAATAAAAAGAATCAGTGTATAAAATACCGAATGACAGTTTAAAAATAAAAATTTAAAGGTTATTTTATACTATTTCACGGTTAAAGTAAATCGAGTTCGCTTTGAGGCTTTGCCTTTTTCATACAAATCCATCATATAATATTCGATTTATCCGCTAGAGGAATAAATCTTTTATTCAAATCTTACAACTTAACATTTTTTATTATAACACCCCAGTAGGGCCTCAAAAAGAGTTGTCAGGGGAGACAACTTACATTGAATATGTCATTATATATAAGGCAGAGCAAATTCTGGGAACGGTCTTTCAATCGTGGCTCACCATAGAAGAGGTAGACTAGTTTTATCTTCGTTAAAAAATCTAAAATTTACATTTCAAATCTTGAATCCCCACCACACCCCCCCCCCCCCTTCAATTTCATTGTTTTTCTTTGTTTTTGCTTTCTTCCCTTTATATTTTCAGATAACACTATTAGCACGTCATGGCTGGAACAGAAAGATATAGAAAAAGGAGAATGCTTATGATTCTCAGCGACCGTTATCGGAGCTGATCAATTTGTAAAACAGACATGTAAAGTGAATTCATCATCTGTACCTGTGTACCTCGAGTTGAAGCATGTGCTACCACGTTTTTGCAACCGTTGCCGGGGCAAAAACAGTTATAGTAAAGACATTGAGTAGTCTTAAATCGAAACACATAGACGTTTCAATAGGTTAAATAATTAAATTCTTTTATCCAGCCATGGCCGTTTACATGCCAACACGTTTTTATTATTAAATACTAGTACGTTTTTTTAAACTGATTTCTCTTTTCTTTTATTCCCAAGTTGTAATATTTGAATAAATGTCATTAATTCATGTAAAACTAGATTAACATTTTGTTCAAAAGCTATTTTTATCATGCCGGCTCGCCGTGGTATTACGTTAGGATTTTACTGAGAAACAACCTTAAACTCCGAATCCATCCAAAAATTTAATCGAAGCTTGGCTTCCAGCTTTCTACAAAATTTATCTGTCAGGGCTGGAATCCAAAATTATTTAGCCAATCAAATTTAATCTTACATAGCCTCAAAAAACCTTCAATTTTCACACCATTTTTAAAAAGCAGCAAGTATTGATTTGAGCGCAAAGATATAATATGATGATTAAATGTTTGTTTTCAATAAATCATATTAACACTGACTTTATTTAGTGATTTCACCTGTTTTCTCTGTAATAAGTTTTCGTTTGGTTAATTAACATAAGTGTACATCTGTGCATTTTTTTCTTTTTCTTTTTTCCGGTCATTTTATCCTTTCCGGTATTTAGGGTGGGGGAAATCCCGGGATCCGGGACGCCCGGGATCCGGGATAGTATTAGATATATAGGGAAAAGGAATAAACTACATGTATATTTGTGTTGATTATTGTCGTTGAATCTTTGTACAGGAGATGATCATTATACCAAGCCCTCTTACAATATAATTCCCTTTTATGCTCACTATGAGCAAGTTGTGCTCTGGTGAGCATAAACAGGAATTGGGATCCCTATTCATCTGTTGTCCCTAATGTGTAATTTAGTTTCTCTTTAAATG